CCTTCCCAGTAGCCAGAATTACAGGCATGCGCTACCACGCCCAGCTGATTTTTTGATTTATTGTAGAGATGAGGTCTCGCTGCCCAGGCAGGTCTCGAACCCGTGGGCTCAGGCAATCCTCTCACCTCAGCCTCCCAAAGGCACGGGATTACAGGCTGAGCCACCGAGCCTGGCTTGTTCCCTTTTTTTTCTTAGTGGTTTAATATGAATTGATCTGAAATACACGTGAATGGAGAAGCCCCCTATTCTTTTTACTCTTTATTAGTGTTGTACACAGTGATATGTATCTTATTATTTTTCCCAAATTAGTGATTATAATTATAATAAATATTTTAGGCTTATGAAACCCAAGTTTTTATTCTTTCTAAATAAATATTGACAATATAAAATTTAGAAGTACATTTACAACTTTATAAGTAATTCATTAACCTATATGTTTTTCATACCATATGCTTCTTAGTTTGTTTTGAACATTGAATATTAGAGCTGAAGAATTTATGAATTTTGGTTTAAAATATTTTTTTCTAGAATGATAGTCTTTTTTTGAAGAGATAGGATAATGTTGTATTTAGAGTCTGTTGACTTTTTTTTGGAAGTGTTCTAAGTTTATTCTCTCTTTAAGTATAGATTCGCATTCTCAAGTCTCCACAAGAGGTAAAACCTGGTGAAAGGCACTATAATATGGCAAAAAGTTACCCAAATGAAGAAAAGGATGCTTGGGATGTGAAGATGTTGCTAGAGGTAGGTTATGGATTCTTGAATGTGATGATGTTAACACCACTTTGTGACTTGTAATACATGAGCTGTATCTGCATTAATGAAGGAGTATATTAGAAAAGATTATGGAAAACTAGGAGCAGTCCACTCCAGCTTTTCCCACAGTAACTGCTTTCTCTGTAGCAGAGCACACAACAAGTAGCAAAAACACAGTGAAATAGGAAAATGAGCCGGGCTTGGTGGCTCCCACCTGTAATCCCAGCAATTTGAGAGGCAGAGGCATGAGGATTTTCTGAACCCTGGGGTTCCATACCAGCCTGGGCAACTTGGCTTGGCAAGACTTCATCTCTACAATAAATCAAGAAATTAACTGGGCATGGTGTCATGCGTCTGTAGTTCCAGCTACTTGGAAGAGACACTCCAACTCAAAAAAATAAAAAGGAAAGTGCTGTAAAGCAGTGCTTCTTAACCTTAATATCTTTGAGAGAGAGAAAAAAAAAGCAGTAAGCTTCAGAGAGACCTGAACTGTATGCAAAATGAACTAAACAGTGTGCCAACAATTTATATACTGAGTATATCCATGTTACTTTCTAGAGAAGATGCACTGACTGTCTTATTAGATTCTCAAAGATATTAAGACTGGTCTCAAACCCCTGAGCTCAGGCAATCCTCTCGCCTCAGCCTCCCAAAGTGCTGAGATTATAGGCTCGAGCCACTGCGCCTAGCCATCACTTTATTTCTTAGGACAGTAATTATCAGACAGGCTATGAACATGTATTTGGACAGTAGACATATAGCTAAATGGATTTTTTTTTTGAGTTGGAGTCTCACTCTGTTGTCCAGGCTGGAGTGCAGTGGCACACTCAAAGGCCACTCTGGTCTCAACTTGCTGGGCTCAGGCGATCCTTCTGCCTCAGCATTCCATGCAGCTGTAACTACAGGCAGATGCCACCATGCTCGACTAACTTTTTGATTTATTGTAGAGATGAGGTCTCACCAAGTTTCCCAGGCTGGTCTTAAACCCCTGGGCTCAGACAATCCTCTCGCCTTGGCCTCCCAAAGTGCTGGGATTACAGGCATGAGCCATTGTGCCCAGCTGCTAAATGGATTTAAAATCTTTATAGTTTCAGAAATATATCTGGAAGTTCTCTACAGGAATTTTTGTTTTTTGTGTTCTTATTTTGTTAATGACTCTAAAGATAGTTAACGTAATCTTTTTATGTGGTATGGATTCTTGCCATATAGCAGGATACTCCCAGATGATTCCAGTGTCTTGAGTTTGTGTGTACTATTGCTTTGTTGTAAAATGACCTTCTGTGAGGTGTTAATTTTTATGGTTGCTCTAACAGCTTACCACAAATCTAGCAGCTTAGAACAACACTTTTATTTATCTCAATAGTTTCCATGGGTTAGTTCAGGCATAGTTTGCCTCATCTGGGTTCTGTGTTCAGAGTCTCATGAGGTCAAAATCAAGTTTTCAACACTTATATGGAATTAAAAGATATTTTTAACTCTTTATATTGAGAACTGTAATGTGCAGTATGTGTATAATACTCTTGCTAACAACCTCAGAGGTGTAATGAGTTAGGTAGCAAGTCTGGGAATCAGCTTGAGGTGCCATAACAAAGTACCACAGTTGGGGCTTAAGCAACAGAAGTTAATTTTTTATAGTTCTGGAGTCTGTAAGTCCAAGATCAAGGTGCTGGCAGGGTTGGTTTCTTCTGAGGCCTCTCTCCTTGACAGAAGATGCTGTCTTTCCTGTGTGTTCACATGGTCCTTTCTTTAGTGTGTGTCTGTGTCCTGATCCCCTCCTTATAAGGAAAACAGGAATATTGGATTAGGGCCCACCCATATGACCTCATTTTACCTTAATGATCTCTTTAAGGGCCTTATTTCTAAATACAGTTATTCTGAGGTACTGTTGGGGGTTGGGACTTCAACATATAAATTTTGGGGTAGCACGGTTCAGTTAGTAACCGAAAAGTTAAAGTGTCTTACCCATGGTTAGTCATACAACTGGTAATGGAAGAGGTAGAATTGAGCAGCCAAATCTCCTTACTTCTAGAACAGCTGAACCATTGCATTGCCATACTTTTCTCTGGGCTTTTAGACAGCCCATATCAGAGGAGAAACCAAAGAGAAGAACGACTTGTGTTTTACAGATGTTCCTCTCCAGTTCTCTTTTCTAAGGCTCCTAGAGTATTCCCAGAAGCTATGCCCTGTTACCACAGAACAGTCAAACTCCTGGTATAGCCATATTTTCATTCCCCATACAGGGCCACCTGACCTGTCATTTACAGTATTTTATTTTATTTTATTTCATTTCTTTTTCTTTTTCTTTTTTTTGAGTTGGAGTCTCACTCTTTCGCCTAGGCTGGAGTGCAGTGACTCACTCACGGCCGCCCCAGCGTCAGCCTGCTGGGCTTCGGCGATCTTCCCGCCTCGTGCTACCTGGCTAATTTTTAAAAATTTATTTATTGTAGAGATGAGGTCTTGCCAAGTTGCCCAGGCTGGTCTTGAACCTGCAGGCTCAGGTAATCCACTTGCCTTGGCCTCCCAAAGTGCTGG